CAAAGATAATGATGGGGCCTTGTGTCTGTAAATACCAGTTTCTCCTTTTAGAATCTGAACTCTAGAGGCATTGCCACCTACTCTGAAAAGGAGCATTTGAGTTCTGGGGAATTGAAGAATAATCTTTGTCTTTTCATTCTTTTTATTTCCATTTAATTTATGTTTACCATCTTCCCCAAGTGCTACATTCCATCAAAAGATGTGTTTTTTGGAATAACCTTGAAATATATTTAAATTCCATGTCCACTGGGTGCCTGGGTGGCTCAGTTGATTAAGCGACTGCCTTCGGCTCAGGTCATGATCCTGGAGTCCCGGGATCGAGTCCCGCATCGGGCTCCCTGCTCAGTGGGGAGTCTGCTTCTTTCTCTGACCCTCTTCCCTCTCGTGCTCTCTGTCTCTCATTCTCTCTCTCGCAAATAAATAAAATCTTAATAAATAAATAAATAAATAAATTCCATGTCCACTATTACCTAAGATGTAGTGACTATTTAACTCCCTTAGCTTCTACAAAAAAAAAAAAAAAGTCTCTTTGTAAAGAAAAATATTGATACCAATTTCAAAAATAATTTTTGAAGATTATATAAGACAATTTATTAAGGACACGTGTCACCAGAGCCCACCACATGATACTAACAAAAGGTTAGTTTGAGGCTCAACCCAAAGCTCTAGCAAACTTTCCTCTTTTCCCAAAGCAGTGGATTGATTCCTCCATTTGAGAGAGACTAAGAATATTCTCTGGCTGTCACAGCACTAGAGATTTAATCAAAAAGCCTTTCATAAATGAACACTTTTAGCTTAAATGGAGAACATTTGCAGACCAGTGTGTAGAGGTGTATGTGCATAAGTAAGTCTGTGCATGGTCAAGGGTCTGGTTGGTATTGAGGAAAGGAAACAAAGCAGCAGGGATATAAAGCTTTCACCATGCTTGATGAAGTTGAATGAATAGAACAAAGAAGATTGGCTGCTAAGTGGATAAAGCTCTGAACTTTTACCACTGGGACTGTAATTCAAGTTCAGCTTGATGCCTGATTGCCACGCCTGGGACTCCGGTTGAGGCAATATCTATGCCACCCATGAAGGATGCTGGAATTGGCTGCCTCTGGATAAACAGGACACATTTATTTTCTTAGCTGAGGGCCTAAAATTTGAAATTTTGTAAAACAAAGCAACAAAAATTAAAAATAAATTCTCATGGATTGAGGCTGTGAATTAGGGGCATATTTCTGACAGAGGGGCCATCATCACCAACCAGTGCCTGGTTGACTTTACATCTGCCTTGATAATTTTTCTGTCAGTTAAATTAGAGATATTTAGGGTAAATGCAAATATAGTTGCTTTCAATTCACTAGAAGCACTCTTGTGTGCCTAGAGGGACCCTCCAAAATGTCTGTCTATGATATACCGCTCCAAGCATAAAAAGTTTGCAAATGTTGAGTTGTGATCAGCTATATAAGTCATGAATGTTAACAACTCAAATGATATCTCTGTAAAAATTGTGTGGCATTTGTCCCCTCCCACACCCTCACCATGTTGCCAGATTATCATAGTGCAACATAATATCATACGATCATAATTATCTCACCAATCTTCCATGTATAAAAAAGAAATCAGAGGTAAATTCCATTTAGTTAAAAGCATATCTCTCTGTGCAGGGTTAGGGACATTAAATGATAGGCCCGTTGTGAAGCACTTGGCATATAACAGAGAAACTGACTACAAGTAATAGTTGCCTCTGAAATATCCTTCCCACTGCTCACCACATCTGTGTGTCCTGCAGCTGCACATGAGCCTTTGCTATCCCTCATTGTCTTTAATACAAAATAAGGACAATAGTTTCTGTTGCACACTAATACTAAGGAATTTGATTGAAGGGATGTCAAGTACCTAGTACAGTGTCTTGCCTGTGGTAGTATTCAATACATTAAAAAAAAAAAAAACCCTCAATATGCCATAAAGCTGACTCTTTAAATAAAATATGAGTCAGTTAATGAGCTGTTGGTATAAATATATACAGACGTTGCTCCAAGTTACAGACACCGATCTGAGAATACTTGATTCTGAAAGTGTTGCTTGTCATCAACAGTTTATTTAAGGAGCCATTAATTCCTATTAAAATTAATCGAAAACTGACAAGTTATTTGTTCCTGGGAAAAAATAAGTCCAGTATCATTGTGGTGATATTGATAGTATGCATTCATATTTACATACTGTCGATAACTGGAAATTTTGTTACTACGTTAACATTTAAAAAAATTCCTGAAGCAGCCAGGCCCTTAGTAGCAACAACGATATCAGCCAGTTCCAATTGTTCAGAAAGCAGCGCTCATTGAAACCGTTCAAATCATCCATGGGTTGTGTCAAACGCCATCTCCTACACAGCTGCACCTGGGAGGGGCACTGATTTTGTGTACCCTAATAATTTCAACATGAAAAACATATTTAATGCAAAATATTGATCACAATATCACGCAGATCACTGTTTTGTACTAAAAACAGAACAAAGAAAGCATGTCTTCCAATAGGCTACAGCAGGTTCTGACATTGTATTAAGTACTCCCCCCAAAAATAGGGTTGCATGCATATCAAAACTGATATTCTATAAGAAAAATCTTACTTAAAAAAGAGGATTATAAAGTAAATAAATCTTGGGATTACTGTGCAGCATGGTGACTATAGTTAATAATCTGGGTTGTATGTTTGAAAGTTGCTAAGAGAATAGAACTTAAAAGTTCTCATCCCAAGAAAGAAATTTTGTCTGTAACTGTATAAGGTGGTAGATGTTAACTAGACTTATTGTGGTGGTCATTTCATCATGTATACAAGTATTGTATCATGATGTATACTTGAAATATAATGTTATATGTTAATTATAACTCAATTTTAAAAAAATAGCAGAGAGAGAGAAGGGAGAAGAGTGTGGTCCTGTGCCTGAAAAATCATCTAGACCAAAATGCAATATAATATAATACAGTAGATATGATATGATATATTATGCAACATAATGCATTTGTATTTCCTTGATATCTAAAATAGATCAATGTAATACATCGGTAGTTTCCAAACTGTATTTTTTCTTTTTGAGAAGAAAAAACATCTTTAATTATGAGACTGTACGTGAAATGCCATTTCCCTACTTTCTATTTCCCCATCCCACTTCTCAGGGGTCTTCACAGTGCAGCTAGGCCTTGGTGAATGAGCTGACTTTGAATCAAAGCTAAACCATGCTAAACTAAAGTAACACAAAGCATTAGATTGGGGATGACAAGTACCTAAATACTGCTAAATAACATGCTAAAAAAATATTGGCTCTATTGCTTTCATAATATTGCCACAGACTTATCAGAAGTTGTTTTTTTTTTTTTTTTAAAGATATTTATTTATTTGAGAGAGAGTGAGAGAGAGAGTGCATGAGAGGGGGTAGGGTCAGAGGGATAAGCAGACTCCCCACTGAGCAGGGAGCCCGATGCGGGACTCAATCCTGGGACTCTGGAATCATGACCTGAGCCAAAGGCAGTCGCTTAACCAACTGAGCCACCCAGGCACCCCATCAGAAGTTTTTTGAATCCTTCTGAACAGGAGGAGTATCTGATGAACTTCTTACCTATGAAAGGGTAAAGAACAAAGATCTGTGGAGGGGTGTTTCTTTTACCGTAGTTAAGTCTCAGGCCTTCCACCTTGAAGGCCCAGGGACTCCATTTTTAATTTATCTGTGATACAATATAGATCACTCCCAGGAGTGCTGATTTCAGTGGAAGGGCTCAAGAAAGCCTATGTGCAAATGAAAAGGGCAAAGCAAATGACTATTTAAGTATCTGGAGAAGTGACTTTCACATTTGCCCTAACAGCGATATGATCAAGTTAGACAGGAGCCAGATTCTCAGAACTTGGCTTGAAGAGGTTTGTGACATGAGCTGAATGTACAACCATGTCAGGGACCTTTAATATGATGCTTCTATCCCCACAATGGAGTTTTAACTCTTGGCTGGGCAAACTTATTCTTAACTCTCTCCCCAGGACGGCGTTTGAATGGACAGTGTCCACTTGTTCCTCTACGCTGACTTTTTTTTTTTTTCCCCCAAGCTTACAGGCATCCTAGTTGACTGGTACATTTGTTGACTGGACATTGGAGGTCTGTTTGGGAGTGTTCTCTTATTTAGGTATTTAGTAAATGTGTAATCTCTGTGATGTAAGCACTTAGATCTCTGTAAGAGAGAAGGGGGACATAGTGAACCAATGGCAAATCAGACCAGATCTCTTTCTTTGAGGCAAAGCAGTATCATGGAAAACCATGAACTTAGTGAGACTTACCTAGATGCTAACCCTTAGTCCTCATGAATTAGCTCTGCGATCTTGAGTGATTTGTCAAATAGCTCTGAGTCAATTCTTTCAAGTGTATTTACCTCATGTAACCATCATGGATACAAAGTGCCTAGAAACAAGTAGGTGTTCGAACTACATTTATATTTCTTTTGTTCTTTCCCTCTTGCCCTTATGACACTTAAATGAGAAATGGGAAGATAAACTCACATATGTATTTTGAGAATTACATGATTCTCTCCCAAAGAAGTCCACCAAGGAATACAAACAATATCACCTCTCAAAAGTCAAAGGACACATAAGTGATTATTTTCTCTCTCCTTAAACCTTTGCTGTATCACAATGACTAATGGATTTCCAGGTCACCAATGTTTTTGGTGCAGATATTTTCCTTTTTATCACAGGTCCTTCTGTTCCCACGTAACTTTTGTCTGTTCTCTAAATTGTTTTATCGTTCTTTCCCTGAGATAAATAAGCCCCAAATTCACTCTTCTCCAGTGAAGTTTTAAAAGCTACTTCTTATATTCTGCTCGCCAGAAAATTAAAGTTAAATATTAGCAGAGTGCCTCATTTATTCATTAAACTTAAAATCAGTGACTTCATGGCTGAGCCAGTCTTTAACTACAATGATAACTTCCAGTATTTACGATTCACTGCTGATGTGTGTTTCTTCTAATTCACAGCTGACAGCGAGGAGAGAAAGCAGAAACTTCCTTTGGCTTTTTCAAAATGCTGATGAGGAGGAAGAAGGGGAAGAATCAAGAGTGCTTCAACTTTTGCATGGGAATCCAACATGTGACAATGGAAGTTTTTATCTATTAACTATTATCTATTAATTTGGGGGAGACTTAGGAGGGCTAATATGTTTTGAATCCCCAATAGCTACCAAGCATAATAGCAGGCATTTTACCCAAGGAAAAAGAACTAACATTTACTAAGTGTCTGCTAGATACTAGAAACCAGGCTACTTTTTATATGCACATTTCATTGAATCCACTAATCCTCAGAACATAAAACCTTCTTTTTTGCAAATGAAGAAATAGTTTCCAAAGGTTTACAGATGTAGCAAGTAAGTAGGGGAGGCAGGGATTAAACAGGTCTGAACAACTCCCTATTTTTTACTCTTTCAAAAATACCAAGTTAGTACGACTAGGAAAGTAAAAATCCTATTAACATCTAGGGGATTGTGGAAATGGCACTTCTTAGAGTTATTATATTATTAACATATTTTTCAATGCAGTTTCTATATTGAAGGGAATGTAATATGCAAATATTTTAAAGGTTCTTACAAGGAGTTAAAAATACCAAACACGTGAAGAACGATTCCAATTATTTTTGTTTTCATTCCAAAATTTCTCAGCAAACTTTGTTTTTTTTGTTTTGTTTTTTATATTAAGCTTAAGGTAAATTTCGGAACAACCACTATCAACATTATTTAAATCTCTTAATAGGTGGAGACTAAAGTTTTCAAGTTGTATTGTATCACTCTGGGTGAAATAAGGAGTATCATTTTGTCAGAATGGTTATTGTCAGTTTTCGGAATTGATTTCATAATCACTAATACTGGTCCTCTTACCTAATCCCACTGCTTTAGAGAATGGCTAGAGGCCTACCCATTTCTCATCCAGGTTTTTTTTTTTTTTTCAAATCTCTCCTCTCTCACCTGATCTCATAGTTCTCTGCTGTTTTTATCTGGTGACATTCTCACTATATACATTAGACTCTAGACATTTTTTTTTAATATCAGTATTATTTGTCCTGATAGATTCTAAGCATATTGAGGGAAATCACCAAATTTCATTATTTTTTTACTATCATTTAAAATACCCATGAATAGGCAAGTACCAAAAGAGATACATGACACAATCAAGAACTGTGGAATAGACTTAAGATCAAGTTTATAGATTTGTGATCAAATTCTTTTATATCACTTACTTAGCTATGTGAACTCAGGTGAATTAATTAACCCCCATCTATAAAATGGAAACCCAAAAGCCTTATAGGTTGTTTCATGAAACTTTATAAGGCTGTCCTTATTTTCAAAGAATAGCCAAGGGTTACTAGAAATGTATCACTAGTATATGTTGAATAAGTTACTTACTCTTGTTAAGGTTCAGTTTTCTCATTCACAAAATGAATATGAAAATAATTGCTATCTTGCAGGACTATAATGGATATTGAATAAGGGGATATAACTCGATTTTTTAGCAAAATGTTTCCATAAGTTGTCAACTATTCAACAATGCCCCCAAATGACAAATGGCATTCCCTCTTCTTCACCTTCGGTCCACTTCCTCAACACCTGCATGAGTTACTGACCCTGGCAGAAATCTAGAACTCTAAGTAGAAGAAAAGAAGACAGACGAGTCCGCTAGAAGAAGAACAAATAGAGTGGAGGACGGAGGGTCAGAGAGTTGAATAAATGCCCTTATATTGTTCAATGATAAGAAATATTCATGTGAAATCATATTTTCAAACAGGAAACAAATAATAAAAGGAATGTTATGACTCCTTTGAAATGCAGCAAAAAGAAGCCATGGTTAAAATTTTAACAAGCGAGAGTCATTAGCTAAACAAACCCGGACAGCTCCACAGTCACAGAGACACCTAACAAAGGCTTGATTTGTGAGACATCCTTAATAGTCCCTCTGCATTTCCCTCAAACATCCCATTTTGTTCATCTACTGTGGACCCTAAGATGTCATTCCCTATTCTCTCTGCTAGCTACATGTGTTTAAAAAGTATAGCTAATGTTTCCCTTTATCAGTGATTAGAAAAGAGATTTTCTTCTGCATCTCACTGTATTGATCCTCTTAAAAAGAGGGACATGGCTGAGGAAAATGAATCAATTGATCCCTTTAAGCTTTCACAATGAAGACTTTCTTTCTTAGGTTTTGCCATGTTCTTGCAAATCTCAAATGATAAAACAGCAGATGGTTCTCATTGCCCCCACTCTAAATAAGACTAGAAAATTATGGATTATGCCATACATAATTTATAGTATTTAAGAGAAAGGCAACCTGATAGAAATACATTTTAATGAACACCTACAGTACACTAGGCTTTATGGTATTTAATTTACATGTAATTGTAATTCTCACAAAGGTGTAATGGGGTAGGAAATATTAACCTTTTTTTGCAATCAAGGAACTAAGGTCAGAAGGTTGAAAATAAATGAAAATAAAAAATCCCTCATGGAAAAATACATGTAGGAGAGGTGCTTGAGAGAGAAGTGGAATGGGAAATGTATTCAATTTATTCACTTTCTAGCAGGGAAAAATATTATTCCTAATAGTTCATGTTATATTCATACTTCATACTTTTGAGTCTTATTATATTTTCATTTTATTTCATTTTTAATATGAATTGAATAATAGAACTTTTAGTTATAATTTTCTTATTGAATTACTTCAATCCTCCCCTCCCCCTGATGCTGAAGTATATCCCAAATTTTACAGAGCAGTTGGCTAAGAAAACCATATTTTTGTGATAGAGAAGGGCACTTGATATAGAATTGGCCAAGACTAAGTCCCCTTTTACATTAGCTAAGAATAAACATGTGCATTGACTCATAAAGGAATGTCTGTTATTTTAGATATTTTTATTAATGGACAGTCATCTTAGGTAGTAGCAGAAACAGTAAAGCTAGGGGCGCCTGGGTGGCTCAGATGTTAAGCGTCTGCCTTAGGCTCAGGTCATGATGCCAGGGTCCTGGGATCGAGTCCCGCATCGGGCTCTCCGCTTGACAGGAGCCTGCTTCTTCCTCTCCCTCTACTTGCTGCTCCCCCTGCTTGTGCTCTCTCTCTGTGTGTCAAATAAAATCTTAAAAAAAAAAAAAAAAGAAACAATAAAGCTAATACTTTTGAAATCCCTGTAGAAAATGACCACAATAGAGATTTGGTGTGGAGAAAAAAAAGGGTGTCTGGCAAAACTGATTTCATTGAATTTTCAATATTCTCCCCTATAAAGAAAATAAATATATTTATTCATTTATATATTTATTTATCTCAAATGAGCTCACTTCGAAGCACAAATATTTCTCTAACCAGAGGTTTCATATGTGAGCTGTTTGTTTGTTTGTTTTACCACTTCCAAACCTGTTTTCTCTTCCCAGTGAATCGAACCAACTTCTCTAATTTCAGCACCTTTGGAAAGGAAATGAGAGTCTCTGGTTGGAGCCATCAAATTGGCCACAGGTGTGTGTTTAGTGATGCAGGGAGAAGAATGAGGATAGGGAACCTGCAAGACATTATCTCTCTGTTCAGTGCCCCCGAGTCCACTCTTGGAAGGGGATCCAGGGTCCACTCTTCCTGAATGCTATATAATCATGCTGCATGGGTTACTTAAGGCTGAAAGAAGTTTGATGGGAGGGTGACTGTCTGTGTGTGTCAGAGGGAGCTCCTGCCATTGTTTACTTTGAGGTAATTTTACTGAATTTTTGTGAGGGCCATAACTACAGAAGAGTGAGATTGCATGCACATTTTTATTGCATATCTATCCACAAACCAACCATATCCTTTAAAAATAAGGAATTGAGAACCTGTTTTCATGTATTAAAAAAAAGTTTTGAATAGACATTTTGCAAGAGAATACTGATTGAAAAGCACATGTGGAAATATTCTACCTCTCAGCAATCAAATAAATACAAACCCAGCTTCAGTGTTAGAGAAAATGAGCAAATGTAAAAGTTTGAATATCTAATATAAGAATGCTTACAGTTTTACCCGGATGGTGAGGCAAAAATCAAGGTAAACTTACCAGAAAATGTCACAAAATATATCAAACTCTTAGATATGTCCATAACCCTTAACACTTAATCTTATTTCTGGTAATAAATTCTGAGAATTCAACAAACAAAAATCAAAATCAGCTAAAAGTTAAAATATTCACATTAATATCCATATTGTATAGCCTTTTTAAAATTTTGAATGGTTGGAAATGGCACATATGATTGAAAGAAGAAGAATGAACAAATAAATTATGGCATGCTTTATATGAGGAAAAAGTATGCAAGGATTAACTTTGCCTTTGCAAAACATTTTAATATAATGGAAACATGTTTGCTTTATATTACATAAAATGGTACATACTTTATACATGTAATACTTCATATTATCTCAAAGTTATGTACAGTTTAGAATATAAATCATGAGCAAAGTACAGATTTCCCCACTATTTAAAAGTAGAGTTTTGGGCGCCCGGGTGGCTCAGTCGGTTGAGCGACTGCCTTCGGCTCAGGTCATGATCCCAGGGTCCTGGGATCGAGTCCCACATCGGGCTCCCTGCTCTGCGGGGAGCCTGCTTCTCCCTCTCCCACTCCCCCTGCTTGTGTTCCCTCTCTCACTGTGTCTCTCTCTGTCAAATAAATAAATAAAATCTTTAAAAAAAAATAAAAGTAGAGTTTTCCTACGAAACCTTTTGTAAGCTAAAATGGCATAAAGCAAAAAAAAACCAATTACCATTTCGTAAAAGTGAAAATTTTCTTCAGATTTCTTTTGGTTAGTGAAAATAGGTAGCTCTAATCTAGGTTTTTCATAAAAGCAAAGTGGCGTAAAGCAAACGGGGGATAATAGCAGGAGGAAATAGCGGGGAAACCTGTATACCGAAAATGTTATAAAATTATTAGTGACTACATCCAATACGATAGGTACTCTTTTTTCCCTATTTTTCTATTTTCTATATCCCAAATATTTTCTCATGAGCACATATCAGTTTTTAAAGTGCATAAAAATAAATCTCATCAAAATTATTTTTCACATGAACCTTAGAATTTGGAAGGCTTTTTGAGTAGGATCTATCATTTTACTAAAATCTCAAATAATCTAGTAACTCCCACCTCCCCTTCCCCCCCCCCGCCAGTTTTGAAAGATGTCATCTGAATTGCATGGATTACTCCTCCACAAAACTAGATTACATCCCCAATTCATTATTATTTTAGAAAACTCACCGTTCAAACACCTACAACATGGGCCATTGTTCATATCGAACTTAATTAGAAAATAGTTTGGATGTTGGAGGAATTCCTAATTTAAATCAATTAAAGGGAAAGTTGTCAAGTTCATTTTGGGTTGGTTTTTCTCTACTCTCACAGCAGGACTGAAGAGATTTGTCTCCCCCAATCTCCTTGTCTTCTTCCAGGATTATGTCATAGTGTTCAGTGTGTAAATCTAGGAATTTATGGTGGCAATTAGCATCTGAGACTCCTGCCACAGCTAGGAGAAGGAGCCTGGGTGACAAACGAATCCATCCCAGGATTTCATGCTGGAAATTCTCTGATGGGTGCTTTCATTCACAAATGACATATCTCTACTTGGTGGGGCAAGGCAACCCTGTACTCTAGTCCTATTTCCGTTCTCTGTTGAGAGCTCTTCTTCCTTCCCTCCCCATGCCCTAAATCCTATTGTGTCACAGTTAATCTAGTTATCAAATGGAAAAAGCATGTCAGATAGTGACTATTTAAGGAGCACATTCCTTTCACTGAGTATATCATTACAGGTCCTTTACTTTTGCATTGCTAAAATAAGATTCTTTGCCTTATCTGTCACTTACCCATATCCTTGCTGGCATAAAATATGTGTTCCCTTTCCACCCAACTTAGATGGAACTACTTTCTTTGTACTAATTTCAGTCATTTTCATGCCCATTAAAATCATTATCTGCCAAGCAAAGGGGACAAGATATATTCTATATAGTAAATATATATATGTATATATATATAATGAATATATATATATATTCATTCTAAAATTGGGGGATATGATCATGATCATTTATATATCTGCCTTATCTCTCAGGCCCATGAGAACAGGGACCAAGTTTTAACAATCTTTAGTATACTAAGATATAGATTACTCTCAGTTTATTACTTTGAGTGAACTAATGAATGAAAAAATAACAGCTGTCTCATATTACTTTTGACTACAAAAGCAACAGAAGATTTCAAAATGATGCAATTCCTGAAATCGTTTAATGATTTGAGAAAATAATCCAGGATATTTGAAAGGAAACATATCTTTAAATTCTAGATTTATAGTCTGTTACAGATAGAGTAAATCAAAAGAAATTTCTAGACAAGAGACTAGAAAATCCAGACTAAATTATGGTTATGCATTTAGGATATTTAATGGAAAATCCTGTGGTCATTTTGCAATATATACAAATTGAAATTTGAAAGTCGGTAGATTAGAAGACTCTTCAGAGTTTCTACCGCTATAGTCAAAGTAGATGTAAAAGTTAATACAATTACCCAAGTAATTAAGGCGATTATATTTTCTTTTCCCCTTATATAACTTATGTGTAGTTTTGTCCTCTATCAGATTATAAACTCCGTGAAGTTAGAAATCTCACTCTTGAGTTTCAAGAATTGCCTCTCCTGAACTGTGTCTTAGTAGATACTCATTTGGTTGATTATTGTCAGCTAGATCCTGCAGAACGAACAGGCTCCAGAGATGATCAGTTACTTTCCTTCTCTGTAG